CGAACATTCAGGCGGGTAAATTTAAATGTAATTAATACTGTTTAATTAAAACCAGAGCATTTAACAAATAAGGTGCATCTATAAAAATAAAGTATAAACAGAAAATATATTAAATAAATGCCCGATTTAATCTATTTCATATATATATATATATATATATATATATATATATATATATATATATATATATATATATATAAAACTCGGATTACTAACACATGGAAAGAGAATGTCTCATATCGAGAATATTTAACATCGAAAAACTTAAAGGAGAAAAAATGAACTAGTTTTAATAATATGTGGAAATCTCCACAGTTTATCTGATGACGGTCGCGAGACCAGAAACACGTGTAGTAAAACTATGGAAAATTATCGAAATTAAAGCATAATATTTTTTTTTAAAAATCCACATTACAACCAAAAACGTTTGCGGTATCTGTCTTCTTTTTATTATACGCACTATTCTCTCGTTGGAACTACTATAAAATTAGCTATCTTTTCGGAGCAGAAGGATATTTGCCGGATTTAATCTATTTCATATAATATATTGTCATTACGTATACACACACAAACACACACACACACATACATAAAACAGTTGAACTCCACAGATATAGTTAAATGCCTATAATTGATAACAGACGCCATTGGTTTATACCAACGGCTTCCCATAGTTAACACTTCTCGTTTTCGCTCTCGCGTTGTTATGTGTGAGGTCACGGGTCGCGATGCAATTTTCGCTTCCAGCGGCTCGTATGCACGAGTTTGTCGTTGCTTGAAAATCTTCTATGCAAACAAAATAGACTATTGTTGCTATGTCCGTGTATTTTCTAATTTATTGTAATGTTATTGTTATTCTTGATGATGGTTTATGTAAGCCGAAAGCTTAGATAGGATTAAAAAAACATCTATCAGTATGGTGATTGTCTTTCAGCTTTCAATGATAATGTTATTAAGCTTATCAGACGATATGAAAGGAATTTGCTTAAAATAAATAGACAAACTTGTCTATATTATTTAATGAAACATACATTAATATATATATATATATATATATATATATATATATATATATATATATATGTGAAAAGTGAATATAAAAATATATAAATAAATATATTTATAATTATATATATTTAATAAACTTATTTGTCTGACGATCGCTAAAACGTGAAACCCATTACATCTATCCAACCAAATATATATATATATATATATATATATATATATATATATATATATATATGTTGTCATATTAGCTAACTTTTCAGAGCAGAAATGATATATCGAGAAAAATCGTCGATCATGTGTGTTTGTAAGTAGGAATTGAACTTTACTAACCGGTAGTTCTCTGTAGCTAAAGCGTTAAGAGGACATCAAACCAAACGACGCTTCCCGTATGAGATGCATGTTCGATTCCTTTCTTAAAACGCACATTTTCTACGAAATTTCTCGAACATTCGTAAAGTTAATCAATACTATTCAATTAAAAGCAGAGTTTTTACCTAGATACATTGTATCCATAAAAATAACGTCTAAATAGAAAATATATTACATAAGTAATATATAAAACGATTTATTGTGTGGCTGTTTAATTTACAGTCAATTGTTGAACACCTGAAAGAAACGAGAGTTTTTTTGTTTTTTTTTATTTACTTTCGGCCATATTCGCATTTGATATGCGCATATTCGCTCTGTTCGACCGACCATAAGTACGTCTTTTTTCGGGACCTGCAACTTATAAAGAAATGAATTATAACTTTAACGTGTCTCTTTAATGTTCCGGAAAATATCAAACTCTCCCGGATCAGTTTTTGCCAGGCTACCTGCCCGAAATAACATAAATCAACGATTTGCATTTGTTTTCGAATATCAGCTGGAAGCAATAGCCCGTTGATTCAGAAATATGTTACGTGGATGCTAGGTAGATAAAAATAGAACTCTTTGAGTCAGTGTGTTGTTTAGTCACCAAGAAACATCTAGTAAATCTAGAATTTTCAGTGAAATAATATTTCTTCTTGGAAAATAATTTTCCCCACTTTGTTTGAGGAGCAGACCTCTAACATATATTTCAAAGAAAATAGGGGTATATTATATTCTTCTTCTTTGTACTGTGACGTTGGCGATTATAGATCTCCACGACGTTTTGTCCTTTGTAGCCTTTAATAAATGTTGTCATTTTGTTATCTCTCTCCTAAACCTTGTTCCACCATCCATTTACACAAGCTCGCTAAGTAGGTTATGTGTTGTTCTCCTCTTTCCCTCTTTTCTTCAATCTATCTTGTCAGTATCAAATTTTCTAAACCGTCTTTCCTCCTTATCCATACTAGAAATTGCAACTCCCCCTTCTTAATGTTATGCTAATTTTATATTAAGTGTTCGTTTTGTTTCCATTTTCACAAAAGCTTCTTCGCTGCTCACATGTTCGGCCCACGTTATCCTCAGTATCCTTCTGTAGAACCACATTTCTGTTTTCTCAAGTCTGTTCCTCATTTGCGAG